GTTGCGCGGAGTCGCCGCTCTGGGTCTCGGCTGACGGTGTGGGCTCTGCCGTTTTTCTCTGTAGTTGTGTCTCCACGGGTCTGCGCTGCAGCATGGAATCCCAGAAGTCGGTGCCCTCCCCGTGGTTCAGCCCTGTGGAGGCGATTTAAATAGATGCCACAGCCACCTTGCCACCTGCAGGTTCCCCGAGATCAGTGGCAAATTTGTCTGCGTTCGTAGAGGAAATATTTTTAGAATTAGAAAAGCCATAGGTAAGTTAGGAATAGAGGAGCACTGAGAGTCAAATTTGGAAATTACTTGTTAGGTGGCTTTATGCTTAGGAATTGATATGGGAGGTGTTACAGCAGAATGAAGACTTGCTTGAATACATGAGTATCAGCTGATCCTATTTGAACTGTCTCAGCTCCTCTTCTAGGTTTTGGTCTGAGGCGGTTGTTGAACAAGGGAGGATAGGGGTTTAGACTTTGTGTGAGGAAGGTGCTAGGCTGCTGTGCCAAAGCATTGCGTGGGGGCACAGAAACATTCTGTTCTCCTTCCTGCCCTGTTTGAGGGACAGGAGAGTTCTGGAGAGCGTGCAGACATACCTATTGACAGAAAGTGAGAAAGTGGGTTGTGCTGAGCAAGGACCATCTGAGGAGCATTGCATGAAGTAATGTGTTTGACAAGGTAACGTGTTTTTCAGGTAAATGAGCAATGAATAATAATAAGTAAAAAGTGGTTTCCTGCTTCTTTGTCTTCTAGGGAAAAAAGGTATAAGCAGACCAGTTGTGACCTGTTGGTGTAGTTACAGAAATCAAGGGTTGGTATATTTTCAGCTGATTTTTGTGCCCCTGTATACACCGCAGTTGAATAGAAGCCACTATGATGCATTCATGCTACCAGAAGTTACAGTAGGGTTCATGCTTGATAACCACTTTTCATTACTTTATGGTAGTGTTGAAATGATGAAGCATTATAAAGCTGTCCTAAAACAGGAGAAAATCTGCGTCACTAAAAAGACCCATGATGTATATCCCATGTCCTGTATTAGCATGAACGGCTCTTCAGTTTGGCTGAAAGGTTATTGCTGAAGTTCCTGAAGGACTCCTGCCTGCCTGATTCTGTCTGCCTTTTTCAGTGCCTGACCGAGATGGGAGATGCCAAGAACAAATAAAGATTCTTAGTTTTTGAGATGGATACGAATAAGGGTTCCTGGGTCTGCTTTTAAATCTTGAGTTGGTTTGCTTTTTGAAGACATTAAAATGCACAGTCCCTGCTTCTTTGGTTTTCCACACCTGTAAGTGGTAAGGACATTTAGCGCC